CTTGATGGGTCGCATATTGGCACGGCTGGTTGGCAATGATGGCTTTATGGGCCACAAAGTTGTCAATCGGTTTGGACGACGACAAGCCTGTCGCTTGTCTGATGTCCGCCAGAACCGAAATCCAACTCAATGCAGAATGCAACAATCTACAGGCACAGGCAAGCATCCTTCAAGCACAGGCAAATGTGCTTATTCAATGCGGACTCAAGGACGAGGCAAAGGAAATTGCAGCAGAATTGAAAGCTCTGCGTGAGAATCACAACAACAATATCCAATCCAAGATGTCCGCAAAGAAAGGTGGAAGAGAACAAATGGACTTTGTTGATCTAGCTGGTCATGATGAGGACAACAGTAGCTCTGACAGCAGCATTCAAAATGAAAACAACTAGTTTTTAAAACATTAAAAATTATCTAAGTGAACCTATTGATCAAAGTTGTTTGTAACTTCTGGGATTCGTCTGTATCTACAAGCTTTTCCATAGTTGAACCATATCATCAGCGAGCGTCACCTCCACATTTGCACCAATGACAAGATGAGCAGCATCGTTGTGCCTGGCCCCTGTATCACCATTAACGTGTACTGCAGTATGCTGTACAGAAGCACTGGGATCATACCTTGCATTGACATCACCATTCATGACTCTATCGCTCACTGTCATGTTGTGCAAGATCAGACATGTTCTGACCCTTTTTGCAATGGTATCCACGTTCCACAAGTTGATTGGCGACGAGAAGAACTTGAACTTTTGCTCAAGATTTCCAAATGCTCCTTCAATTGCTTTTCTTGCACCTTCTTGCCAGCTATTAAAGCTTTTATCAGCATGTGAGATTGGCGCTGACAGTCCTTTGACAAATCTTGAATACTTGGGATATATGCCATCTGTTAGAAAGAAACATTTGTCAAATTCGTTTTCACCAATCTGAAATGGAACAACTCCACTTTGCTTTTCCACTTGCACAAAACTCCCATCAATCAGCCTCTCAATCAATGGAGACCTGCGGAGAATGTTGATGTCATTCATTGCTCCTGTAAAACCATATGCAGTGTGCCAGAACCATCTGTTGTAATCACTCGCCGCTTCAAGAACAATGGTGGTCTTCCCTTCTTTCCCTTTGTAACTTCCCTGGTGAGCCTTCGGGCATTTGTGCCACTGGCTATGGCAGCAGTCGAGAAAAGCAAAGAGGCCTTTGACACCAAACTTGCTCTCATGTAATTTGGAAATGTTTCTAAGGTCTTCAGCAGTTGGCACACGGAGGAATTCCTCCTCATAGAGCTCGCCAATGACATTGTCAAACTCTTTGCATGCTTGGATTGCCAAGTTAGCTGACATCTTATAGTGAGTCGCCATGCTTTTTGCAGATACTCCATAGTCCAGGCACTCCAATGCCAGCAATAGCCTAGCCTCAATGGACGCAACTGGTTGGTTGGTGATGTTTCGTGCCTCACTGTAGAAGGATTTGTTGAGGCCTTTGACGTCTTCCAATATCTTCTGGAACCTGGCTCTGCTTATTCTAAACTTGCCCTTGAACTCTTCATCACTATATAGTGGTGATGGGCCAAGCCAATCATGAAGAATATTCTGCTTTGCTTGCCCATGGTTGAAGCGCTTTCTTGGAGTCTGAGGGCGCCCAGCAGTATGTTCATACCTGCGTCTGAGCCTGTTTTCCTCAAATTCCTCTGCAGTTTCCTCTTGTTCTTCCTCATACTCAAGTTTGTCTGCGATCAATAGCATGATGTCATTAGAAATTGATGCAGCTGCAGCCATGCAATCATCATTGCTCATTGTCGTAGTGAACACACGGCGTTTTTGATGTCAAAAATATATTTCCCTTCCAAGATTTAGCAGGTTTTTGCAGCTGCGCGCTTTGCCTGGTATTTCAAAAATATATTTGTCGTGCAGAAAACGTTTCATCCATCATATATTTATTTTCACGACCAATCTGGCTGATAATTTACTTATGCTAGTGCGACATGAAGAGTTCTCATTCGAAATCTAGGAATTTCCTCACGGTAGTGAACATCATTTTCCCAGATTTAAGGTCACAGATTTGTGTCCCAGATGTAGGTTATGAGTCAATCTGGGATGGGTCACGGTAGTGACTGCTCTAAGCAGCCATCGCAGATCAGATACAATAGCTACATTATTCATAGCCGTAGTAGCTCGACTTCTCCCAACAGAAAGTAAGGTAGGAATCCTTCCTGTAAATCCACACTGTTGCTGAACCTTGAAATAAGCGTTCTTACTGTGTACCGTTTATCATCACTTCTGATTTGTAGCAAACGCCGTTGAAAAGGGTTAAGAATTCGAACAAATACAAATTGAACCGACAGAAGAGCGCAAGGATAAGAAATCTCGAAACTATCAATATCTTTTGAGAAAAATCCAGCTAGCAAGGCTCAAGATGTTTGGAGCAATGCAGAGAGTAATTTCCGGAGAAGATGTTGCTTCGCATGCTCCAGCAGACCAAGCAGTCTCAGAGAATGCAACTTATGGAAAGGAAAACGTGTTTGAAGGCATGTCAACCTCCAGCGTGGATATTCGACCACCCACTTCAGTGGAAAATGATTGTAGTATGCACACACCCAGTAGTTCTCTTAGTGATATGAGTTTAGGTAGAAAGGAACAGGAGGCAGGAAACACGGCTTCACCACGGGTTTCCAAGTCTCCCACGATTTCTCATATTATACCGGCTGTCGCGAGTGCGACTACGTCCATGGACGGGCGAGGAAATCACCGAGCAGAAATCCTTGAACAAAACCAAGGGCAAATACCTATTCAAACTCAAATGCAAACACAGCTGAACAATCAGAACACACCCATGCTCATCCGAAAGGATTCAAGAGTCTCCAGTGATTCGTCTTCAGCTACATCCATGAAAGCTGCTAGCAGTCAAAATAGTTCTAGGGATTGGGGGTGGTTTGAAGATGTACACGAATCCCAAAATAGTCAGACACAGAACGGTCAACAGCGACGCAAGAGTAGCAACAGTGGAAACAAGAAAAAGGCAAGGTTGGTTCCGTCGACTGAAATAACGAGCTTGTCGTCCGAAGGTTTGGTTGAATCCATTCTACAAAAGCAGCAAAGTCACCATCCAGGTACGTGTGCTCGCTCTCTCGATAGTCGTTGAAGTCTTAGTTCCTCCCTCTTGGTTTGGAGGGCCAATTGGGTCGTGGTTGGTTGAACGACCTTAACCCCGAAGTCTTGGATTTGGATTTACTTGCACCTGCACTTGGATCGAAGGATACTTGATCAGTTTTTCAGTTTTCCTTTGTGATCCTTCAAAATCTTACAGCCCTTTTATCCCTCTCTCTCTTTGACCGTGTGGGACAACTGTGCAGACGCTGCTGCAATGGCCGTTACAGCACCGACTTATGTTCTGGAAGAATCTTTGAGCAGCCAGAAACTTTGGAAATATACAGCGGGCAATCGCCCTCCCCAACCAGTCGAAGAAAGGGCCTTTTACGAACAAATGTGGAGTCAAAATTTTGCCCGCTCGAAGGTGGACTACAATGTTCCAGTGGAAGTGTTGACTGCCACAACACCTATATCAATGTCACCATTTGCCGACGGTAGTTTTGATACCTCAAATGCAATGGCAGCTGTTGCGGCGGCTGAATCTGGATCCAAATGCAAGACGCCTGCAGCTGCGATTGCAGAGGCCACTTTGCAAAACATTCAAACATCTGAAATCATCAACTCGAATTGTACAGACAAAGTTGTGCACAAAACGGTCAAAGGAAGCAGCAGCGAGGGCGACATCACAGTCTTGATTAAGGGCGACAACGTTTTTGGAACAACAGTCAGCAAATCATTCGCCCGTCCAAGCGTTAATGGAGGCCCTCTGGTGGGGGTAGACACTGTAAATATATCAATTGCCAGTTATCGTGTTGTAGAGGTAAGAAGAATGAAGCCCGGCAATGGCACCCCATCATTTGTCTCTGCTCACAGCTTACTTTTTTTTTGAAAGAGCAAGAAACATGGCAAGTATGCCCAGTTCCTTGTCATCTACAGAGAAGGTAGCATTCGAGACACTATTGGCATCTGGAAACGGTATTCTGATTTTCAAGAGTTGTCCAAAAAGGTCACCCAGGCTCATGAGGGTTGTGCAAGTGTCATTGCGAATATGTCTCCCTTGGCAATAACCCAGGAACACGAAGTCGAACACCTGCCAAATGCAATAACTAGCTGGAGGCTTCTGAAAAAACGACAGCGGTGGTATCGATGTTTGGACGCTGGATATCTTTCACTGAAAGTTTTTTTGTTGGAGAGGTTTCTTCATGATATTCTTTTTGAATCGTCCAGTCCCAATCTATTGCGTGAATTTATCTCGAATGGACAGCAACTTATGGAGCTTATAGATGCTTCATAAAGTGTCCACCACACTGTCTTTTTAGATCAACCTACATTGTTTGAAAGAGTACTAGTCCTTGTCCAAAGCTAGCCAATTTTATTTTCTACTCCTTGACACTTGACAGAACGACGCATACTGGATATTACGAAGAACTTGCTGGAGGATTGAGAATGCCTTGGGTCCCACTTTTTCATTATTGCTTCTGAAATGCCAAGAATAAATAGGATTTGGATTGAGGCAGTGGGAATCCCCCTAGTTGCGAGATTTTCCCACAGCTCAATTTTTCCCACAACTCAATTTTTCCCACAACTCAATTTTTCCCACATTTTGCTTCCCTTTACAGTTGTGGGAAAACTGTCATTTCTACACAGAAAACCACGTAGTATATGTACTGAGACAAATTTGAAGTTTCCCACAACTCTAATTGTAGTTGTGGGAAGTTTCCCACAACTCTAATTGTTTTATTGGGAATTATGGGAATACTGTCCCTTCTATGGAAAACTGTCCGTTCTACGCACAAAACAACGTTTGATCTGTACTGACTAGAAATTAGACAACTACATATGATGTTTCCCAAAAACTCTAATTGTTTTCGTGATATTTTGTGATACATTTAAGGCAAAAAACGGACAGCTGAGTGAAACGGCCCATAGAGCAGGCCCAAGGTATTAGGACTGTAGAAGCTCCTTTGGTTGGGTACAGAACTAGATAGAAAAAGAAAACACAAAAAACGAAAAGCACCGAACCGATCGGAACTTGCAAACGGTCTTCGTAGTCTAAGTACCAGATTCTACGTAGAACTTGCTGAAGTTTTTATCAATTCAACGACATTTCACTGTTTTACAATGGGGAAGTCTACATCACTGAAGGTTGTCTCAACGACTGCCAACAAGGCGGGCGGGTCCACACCCAAATCGGTTTCTGTCACCAAAAAGAGCGGAAAGAAAAGATTGGAAAATGCATCTGCAGTTGATTTATGTCAACCTAAGGACAGGGAGGGATCCTAGTGTCAACAATGATTTGGAGATTCAAGAGCTGATCGCATCTCTCCCACCACTGATCGACTTTGGGTTATCTACTCACAAATTGATTGCTATCGGGTACGACTATAATTCAACTAAGATTTCGTTTGGCAACTCCACTTTCAATCAATGGATGGAAGATCATAATGATCGGTGGACCCAAGCGCTCCCAAGGTTTGACAGCCCGTTCAAGGACCTCTACGCTAATTATTCAGTTGGAGTAAGGGTTAACATGCTATTCGCTCAATATGCGAACGATTGGCGGCGGGTGTTGAAATTCCTAATTTCGCTTTTTGACAATGATGCCTTGGGAAACGTGGAAAAAACTACAGAATACACATGGGGAGTGAGAGCAATCGCATTGCAAGTCGCCCAGCAGATTCCGTTTTCCTTTTTTGATGTTGGCCTTGTGAATGATTCCAAAGTTCCACAAGAAGATCTGTATTTTTTGAGGGATGATAGGATGAATCCCGCTCTACGCAATGAGACTCCCCTGGTGCAGTTTTGGTTGATGTGCGCTTCCATATTTGATCACCCATGGACAATGCTTTTTGACGAATTTCTTGAGGAGTCCCCAATCTCTTGCATTCAAGAAATAAAATTGAAGGTGATTGAGGGAATTCCCAACGACGAAACTAATAAGGTGGATATTCACAAGGGGGTCAAAAAGATATTTGATCCTGACTACGAAGATTCTGAGGAGGAAGATGATCCAATGGGCGACGAGGACACTGGCCTTGTCAATAAGTTCGGCCAGCCCGATGGATGGGACTCGGACAAGACAGTTGATGACTCCAACGACCGAAGGAACGACATGGAAATAGATGGTGAACTTGCTTCTGGTGACGATCGCACCCATGACGACGACGACGACGACAAGGGCGAGGTGGAGGAGGATGACGAGGATACTGACGAATCGACCAAGGATTCTGTCATTCTTGTGGAAAGTACTTACGATCTTACGGATACTGCAAACGACGAAGACAACA